TCTGCCTGTCAAGGAGATATGTGTGAGTTTGTGGTAGTTTCACTGTAACACCTTTTGAGGATTTGTAATTTTTTGTGTAATATATTTCATCTTTAGAATTTTGGGTGTGTCTAGATTTAGAAAAGTGTTTTGGTTGGAATGATGAAGCTCTGGATCTCAGCAGGCTTTTAGGGTTGGAAAAATTGAAGCTTACAGAGAGAGCAAATAAACATGGTCATCAAAGCTGGAAATTAAGATCTGTTTATTCACCTGCACACTTGAATTCAATCTCAGATTAATAGGCAAAGCCATTTGACTTATTAACATCCTGACAAAGTATGTTTCTCTAGTCATGTTAAAAGGTCTACTTCTGCCTGACTTTTAACACAGTGATAGGTATAGTCATTGGCTAACAGATACAGAAGTTCTTGTTGAATTGTTGCACTCTTGACTTACAGCAGGGAGGTCATTGAGGTGATTGACACTGGACATTGGTCAGTTTAACTGAAAAGTATTTGAAGTTTGGGACATGAAGCCTCAGATTGCAATACATAGGTGTGCACTTATCCTTCAGCATGGAGAAGCAGTAGTGATGATGATAGAAGGTAGGAGAGGGGAAGAGAGCCCTGGGTTGGGTGTGGTTCACATCATTTTTGTGTTACGAGAATTCCTCATGTGCAGGGTTATAAAGTTCATCTAAGATATGGGATCAGGTAAGCATTTCCTAATTCCTTTTCATTAATTCAATCAAGGCTCAAGTAAATGGAGCAATATTTTAAATGAGTTTAAAGTAGAACTCAGTTTGTTGACTGAAATTTTTGTGGTCAAGATGAAAGTTAGCTTCTTATACATGAAAAGAAAATGAAACAAAGTCTTTATGTTGATTTGGTTGTTAGTGTAATTCTCTTCCTTGCTAAGGAGTGTGACTGATTATCACACAGGGCTTGGTTTTCTTTAGGAGCTGGAAGGTAAATGTAGTTTCAGCTTCAGTATTGACCGTGGTATAGAGAAACTTCACTTTACACCATTCTTTTCTGTGTGTCAGTCTCCTAGATTCTCTTTTGATCAAGTTAAGTTTAGCATTTGCTGCAGTTCCAGCCAGCAATACATCACTACTCTCATCTCCTGGCTGCTCCTGTTATAGAAGTTTCTTTTTCACAAAAAGAGTCAAATTGCTTCCGCAAATATGCCGTATAATCTCTGAGTTCAAGGTGAGTTCTAGTCATAGACAACCCTGACTCTACCTGTGGGAGTTAGGTTTTCTCCAGTCACCATTTACCCTGCCAAAGCCATTTTTTCCTCTCTATGGCTACTGACTAGCCCTCGTTAGTTTCCCTCCCCCAACTTTCCACCCTCTGCCCATCCTCCCACGACCCCAAATTGCAGAGAAGTTGAACTGAATCTGAGTTTTTAAAACATGGCACTCCTTATACCCTGCTCAGGGCAACAATAACAATATCAGAGTAAAACTTTTTCAGAATGGAGCTGGGGAAATTGTGATACAGGCTTACTCTAATCAGCTATGTGAAAATGCATTATAAATCATAATTATCTCAGTGGCATTAAGATTGAAGATGTTAACAGAAATTTTATAATGAGCTTATAAAAGTAAGGAAGTTGTCCTAACAATAGTATGTATAGTGGGGTAAAGGAAGCAGACATGGAGGTGGGGTACCATTCATTACGAAGTGAGAAGTAATAAAGGCCTGAGTTATATGAGATTGACAGAACTCCTAAGTGAGCTTTGGAATTAAGTCTGTAGAAGGAGATCTTATCATGGACTCTAGAAGAGGAAGAACACGTTTAGCAATCACCCAGACATTAAGAGGACTGGAAACTGAGAATGACCTTTTGAGTTAAGGACTAGTAAACTGGTTGTGGTCTTCATAAAAGTGGTTTTGGGGGTAACGAATTAGGAGGAGGTTAAGTAGAGGGGGCAAATTAAAGGGCCGTTTCCAAGTAGTAGGAGAAAGACATTGTTCTGGTTTGTTACCATGAAAAGATATTTATGTCACTAAAATTGAGCTATTTATGATAGCACAATAAGGTATAATCAATTATGAAAATATAAGTCACATGTTATATAAACATATGCATATATTTATAAAGGGATTTATGAAAAAGTATTGGCTAACATTTTTATTAGGAATTATTTTGAGGGAGCGATGTTCCATGAATTTGATTGGTTTTCATGACAATTGTAAGACTTAAGAAAACAAGGTATTAAAACCAGAAATTATTTGGAAGGATAGAAATGCAAGCAAGAGAATGTCGATGGACATTCTGCAAAGGAGGAGCTAGAGGAGGGAGAAGGATCAAAACAGGAGGGCAGAACCCAAGAGACTATGGTGATTGGTGCACAGGTGAATGGGTGGTGGGCATTTTACAGGGACTATACCTGAGAGGAGAAAGCAAACATTGTACAAAAATGAACAATGATTTAAAATATATATAAATAAATTAATAAAAAAAAACCTTCTCAATTAAACAAACTGAAATATGGCCGGGGAGGGGGGGCAAAATAGAATGTCTATGAAATAGATTTTACATGTAGATAAATCTTGATAGAACCAAGTGCTAGAATAGGTAGACAGATGTAGGTTTCAGTGGCCAATTTAAAGACCTGTCTTGGCCCTGAGCCCTGGCTAGAAGTGACATGGTTCTTTGGTCCCTTCTCTGAAAGGCAGACTTAGTCATTGTTTGGGGAGTTGAAAAAAGGCCAGTTACTGACTGCTACTGAAAGCTGAATTATTAAAATGAAGGGGGAATGTGGTTTACAATGTACTCTGCTGTGGAACTACTAGTCTGAATACTTGTAGCCAATAAGAGTTTAAAAGCAATAAAAAGATTATCAGAAGAGTGAATAGGGTGTACTGACAAAGTTAAGTTTCAATAGTTGATGAGTTTTCTATTTCTCCTCATTGCTTTCTTTTTGAGTTAACCAACAAGATCAAGTCAGTGTGACTCCTACATCTTGTTATATTTATGATCTGGTATAGTCATTACTAAACATTACATGAATTTTTCATATTTTAGAAATTATATTGGGATTCAGATTGTATTTCTAAAGCTTATACTAGGAGGGTTAGAACAATATTTTATTTCTTCACACTTAAATTAACTTCTTTAAAAAAACTACCACATAGAAAAAGGAACTCTCCTGCACTGCTGGTGGGAATGCACACTAGTACAACCACTATGGAAAACTGTTTGGAGCTTCCTCAAACTGCTAAAAATGGAGCTTCCCTACAACCCAGTAATCCCACTCCTAGGTATCTACCCAAAAGACACAAAAACACTGATTGAAAAAGATACCTGCACCCCCATGTTTATTGCTGCTTTATTTATAATTGGAAAAACATGGAAGCAGCCCAAATGCCCACAAGTAGATGACTGGATAAAAAAGATGTGGTACATATATACAATGGAATATTACTCAGCAACCAAAAAAGAGAAACACATGTCTTTTGCAGCAACTTGGATGGAGCTGGGAAAGATCATGCTTAGTGAGATAAGCCAGAAAGAGAAAGAAAAATACTGGATGGTTTCACTCATAGCAGGAGTATAATGGAGCAGTCGAGAAAATAACAAGAATAATGAACAGCCATATACCAGAGACATTTTGTGGGGGTGGAGTGGGGAATGGGATTAAAAATGGGGGGGGTCTGGGGAGGGAAGTGCACGGGGTCATGGTGATGGCACACGTGTGACTTGGTGATGGGAAACCCGCGGGGATTACAATTGAGATGGAAAAAAAATGTACAAAATGATGTAAAACTAAACTTATAAAAAAAACTACCACATATAGTAAATATATCAATTTTTAGTTGCTATTTCATTATTTACTTAGGGCTGCAACTCCTGCTCCATTTTCCTCCATTAGGAAAATTGACTCAACTAATAGAATGGTGGGAAATGATATGTGATGGAAGTGACTAAGTAAGGAGTGATAAGGGCCTGAGTTAGGAGACCATTGGAAACCGTAGGAGTGGGGCCTGTAGGAGGGGTGTTAGCAGGGAATGGGGAGTGGAGGCTATGTTATTTTGTATGTCCATGTAGTTAAAAACCTGAAATAAGAATGTTTTCTAGCTGAGCATTCAATATAATTTGTAGAATCTTCAAAAGAGATGTAGTTCATGTTGATTTTCAATGAAGTGTACCTCAAACTTCGTTAATTTAAAAAATGCAATATTACTACAATTAAAAAAAAACCCTACTGTAGTATGATGGCTTTCTTACCCATTTCTTTTTCTTTAAAAAATGGCCATATCCTTTATTTATAAGTTCTATGTGTTACGTCTAGAAAAATGCACATAGTGCACTACATAGTGTGAATTTTGTAAATATATACATTGGTGTAACCAGTATCCAATCAGACACTCCCATCATCTCTTGAAGTGGGTTAGTTCCCACCCACCCTCACCCTAATTCCTACCCCCAAATGTCTACCTAGAGTATCATACTGTGACATCTGAAAATAGGGGCTTTGCAAGTAAGGTAAGGATGGATATTAGATCCTTCTGATTAAGGTGATCCTAGATTAAGGTGAACCCTAGATGCAATGTGAGTTTATAAAAACAAAAATAAGGGTACTTGCCCAGTTTCCCTAATGCAGGGTTGAAATTCTCTTTTCTAGCCAGTTGTAGTAGGGGACTTGTAATATTGATTTCATGGACTAACAGCTCTCATGACTTGTCTACCTGACTTGTCTACCTAAGAGTCTAGTGTATAAGTTTTGGCTGTGATTCAAGCCTGCTATCCAGAATGCCTCTGTCTGGCCTATCACCTTCACCAGCCCTTCTCTTCCAACTTGCCATCCATCTCTGCCCCTGACTTCCTCCTGTTTTTAAGTTTAGTTACTTATTAACCATTTTGGGTGTGGGGGTGGCAGAAGATATCTTACTTAGGGTTTCTGTGTATCAGATAATTAAACATGTACAAGAGACATCTCTGCATGTTGCATTGGCCAATAGCCTAATCAGATTGATGTTTGAACATTATTTGTTTTTTCCTTTTTACAGCTAGTTATGTATCAAATCCCATTTGCAAGGGTTGTTTGTCTTGTTCCAAGGACAATGGATGCAGCCGATGTCAACAGAAGTTGTTCTTCTTTCTTCGAAGAGAAGGCATGCGTCAGTATGGAGAGTGCCTGCATGCATGTCCGTCGGGGTACTATGGCCACCGAGCCCCAGATATGAACAGATGTGCACGTGAGTTGTCATTTATTTCTGTTCTACTGTTCATACGACTTAACGGGATGAGCTAAGTTGAAAGTTTTGACTGAATAGTTTGATACAAATCGTCCAAGCTTAAACTTAAAAATTGGAATGGTAGAATGAGAACATTTTTACTTACCTTTTGTATAGAAGGATACTGCATTCACACTCACTTTTTTTTTTAGGTGATCGAAGTGTTTTTTCCATAGCCAGTATCTCAAACACCAGCTTCTTAGATCTTTATAAGGCATACTTTACTCAATACTGACAAAAAAAACCAACCAACCAACCAAACAAAAAAACATTGAGAAACTTTTATTCTGGGTATGCATTCTCTTCAGTTTACCATACTGTCTTTTTATAGATTATTTTTCTGCTTTTTACCTGTGTTTGCAATATCTCATTAGTGCATTTGAGATTTCTGTAAAGTACCATTATTGATAAAAGATATAATTAAAATACGTAGGTTTGTTTTGAAGTATTCTGATTTCTAAATTTAATCACTATAAAAAAGCTATAAAGGAATGCCATTCTGTACATAGGAATGGAGGAATAGTTTTCCATTTTCTATATCAAAAATCACTTATAGGATGATTTTAACTTCTAAAGAAGTGGTAGAAATTGGAATCAAGAGAAAAATACCAAAGGAATAGTCCTCCTTTTAAGGAGTTCAAATATTTGGAGATAGAACATAAATAAAAGGGGAACAGGGAGTGAAATTACAAATAGGTAAAAAGCTTATTCTTAAGTCACCACATTCAGAATGACTTTAGAAGATAATGGAAATGATTTAATTATTTCTCATTAATACTGTACATGACTATTAAATCAAATGAGGTCTTGGATAAAAAGAAAGTTTGAGTTGTATCATTCAATGATAATATTTCGGAAGGAGGTAGAACTAGTGGAGGGAAGTTAAGAAGATTCTAGAAAGAAGGAGTTATATAAAAACAATGCGTTTGTGCAATAGGAATTCTTGTTTTGGGTTCTGTTGGCATTTTGGCAAGACAACTTGTCCCACATTGCTGCACATTTAGCACCCTTAATCCTTCCCCATTAACTATCCTTTGCACTTTCAAATCACTGTGACAAGCAAAACATATCCCCAGACATTTAATGTGTCTCAGCAACTAATTGTACAGAAGGAAGAAAGAAACTGTTTCTAGGGCCCTCCCTAGTGGCTCAGTGGGTTAAAGCACAGCACTAAGAAGCTAAAGCCACTTCAGCATGAGTTCGATCCTCACCAGTCCCAGAGGTGACCCACATGGTATGGCAGACCTCTACTGATCCACTCACTGCTCCCTCAGCAGTGTACTTTGTCAGTCAGCCTGCTCTGCTCCCCACTCTGTCTCTGGTGAATCCTCTCACCACCCCTGTATCTCAGTTCTGTACAAATAAATAAAATAAATCTTAAAAAAAAATTTGTTTCTAAGGTGCTCAGCTAAGGTGATTGGGTATACAGTTTTGCCAACAGCAGAAATAGAAAAATATGGGCTTAGAAATTAGAATTCATGGAAATTATCTGGATTATTAACTGACAAGTAGAAACACTAATTTTTGCAAATTTGTATTTTGTTCTTAAGTTGTATGATTTTTGTGCCCTAGTAATTTACCTTTCAGTTTTGACTTCCCAAAGAGAATGAGTCCATCTTGAGACAGATTCTTATACACACAGCTTTTAGCTACTTGTGGGGGATTTGCACAAATACTTTGTGCATTTCGCATTGCAGACTATCAGTGCACAAGGATGAGATAAGAGTAGAGATAACCCATGCATTTTTTCCAAGCTCTAGGGCTAGCCTTATAAATAATGTCCATGACAATAAAGTGACTATATCATGTGTTACTCAACTTGGAAAATGACAGAGACTGTTAATAATAACTGCAGGAATGTGAGTGTAAACCAGAAGTATCCTGGCAAACTGATCTCAATAGTCACTCAGTAATACCTACTATGTATCTACAAAGCCTTCTTAGAGACACCCAGGCGGGGCTAACAAGTACATTTTGGCTAAGTTATCCCTATTCTCAGAAATAGACCAGTGACTGTAAATCAGCCTTGGAAAGAGAATCTACATGTAACAAGAAGTATGCTTGATGATCCTTATTGTCAGTGAATGCAATCAGTGTTACAGTTCACTGACCTACAGGAAATCATTACTCTGGCATGAGCGGGAAGTCTCATTCACAAGACTGAAGCATAGTGAAAGTGGAAAATTACTTCATTCTCAGTATATTACTTTGATGGCATGGTTCTTTCATACTAATTGCACTTTTTAACAGCTACTTTGCATATAGGCCTAGGTTACTTTATTTAGAGAATGCTGTTGCAAAAGCAGAAGTAGGAAAACCTGAGAGGTAGCTAGTGGCAGTGTCAAAGGTGCACTCTAATGTTTTGGTCTCATAGGTGCCTAATAGAGATGAATTGGTTGATTGACATGTCCCTGGTGTCTCAGAAGCTTTGAAACTATGATGGAGACCTCAGTAATAGCTGCTCTTCTGTGAAAGATAACCATGTGCTTACTTCCTTTTTATTAAATCCTTTCAACAGCTTGTGCAGTAGATACAGGATTATTAGAAGCAAGTAAACCAAGGCCTAGTGAAGTTAAACAGCTTGTCTAAAGCCAAGGAGCAGAGCTACTGGAGCACATATCTAATGACAACCTGTGTTCTATGCTCTGGACTATGTTTCCTTGAAAACTTTTCAGTTTGTACTGAAGAGGGATCTTATCAGTTTGATTACACTTATTCTACTTTACCAGTTAAATTTGTGCAAAGATTTTTTTTTTTGATAAAATGTTAAATGTGATCATCTAGGAAGGTGATATTACAATGGAGTCACTTGACAGGTTACTATGTATTAAGGGACAGCCCTTTCAGTATCTATTACTGTTCTTAAGTGGCAGTGTAGATGATATTATAATGGAGGGATTCTTTTCTATTAACTTGGGTACAGTCTACAATATACCCACCCGTTCATTATGTAGATAGAGCTCAGATAAAAATAAGTAGCTTGTTGCTTTATGCCAAAGAAAGTGAGTAATAACCATGTTTCAAAGAGTTCTTCAGAGAAGGTTTTTTCAGTGAACACTTTCATTGATCAATGTGTGTGTGTGTGTGTGTGTGTGTGTAGTGTCCACAACACAAGGTCTCTGTCAGGCAAGTAGAAGTGCCCTTAAACTAATTTAAAAATATATACATAGATCTGGAAGAAACCTAATTGATTCCATTCCTCTTCTCCCTCTGCTCTTCCTCTCTCCCCTCCCCCACAACAACAGTGCATTTTGGCATTTATAAAGAAGTCTTTCCCCTAAGTCACATAATTATTTAGTCGGGCATCAGTGTCTAAGATACTGATTCCAATGGAATATTCTTTTCACTATATAGTTCTTTAAGAAAAACCAAACCAAACCAAAAATGTGATACTGATAAAATTATCAGGGTGTACTAGAAAGACCTCAATGTTTCTTTGACTGTTTTGGACCATGAAATGCATGACCAACTTCAGTGTTTTAAACCTCACTAGTATTTCAAGACATTTGATTTTATCTTCTAAAAAGAGAAGCTGTAATAAATCATATCTTTCAAAACACTGAATTGGGAGAAACTCTTGTGCTCCATTTTGAACTCTGACACTATCTGTGCAAGTTTAGACAAATTATGTAATACATCCTGGAATAAATAGCCTTCTCAGTCTAGTAACTCTCGTGAGCCTATATGTAAAATAATCTCTGCTGTTGGCACTTTTCTTTCTATATTGATCTTGTGACTTCCTATGTATCTTAAGTTGAGTTCTGCAATGCTTAGTCTCTCCCTTCAGCCCTTATTTCTACTTCAAGATGAGAGATACACATTTATTGTGTCTTAGAGAAAGCCAAGTTTGGAAATGAAGTTGTTTATAATTTAAATAGTTTTGTTAGTGCAGAAAAAGATTTTGCTACAAAAATATGCAGGATAGACTTGCATTTCAGGGTTTATTCTAAACTGATGGAAATTTAATACTGAGTTTGCCAGTCATCTCTACATCAACCTTTGTATTGAGTGTTTATGCTCAGAGCTGTGAGTAGAAAGGGACCTGGTCTGTCTTCTTCATGGGGTCTCTGTTTAATGGTTGGTGGGTGCGGGGATTGTGATGAACGTAATAACTAGGAGGGCAGAGCTCTGCTACAGACATCTGGGTGCTGGGACACTGGAATCTTCAGGATGGTGCAGATGATGAGTAGGTAGGTATGTCATGTAGGTAGATGTCTAGTATGAAAGAGCTTGTGTTTTAAAGTCAGGGCCTTGAGCAGGAAGTAAAAGGGAACCATTGAAAGATTTTTTTAAAAAGATTTATTCAATGCATAAAGAACTTGGGTACAGGCCAGAGGTGGGTGAGAAAATTCACCAGAGACAGAGTGGGGAGCAGAACGGGCAGATCGACAAAGTACATTGCTGAGGGGAGCAGTGGGCAAGACAGATGGGGTCTGCTGTGCCATGTGGGTCAGCTCCTTGACTGGGGATCGAACTCATGTGGCAGTGGCTGTGGCCAGCTTCACGGTGCTGCGCTTAACCCATTGTGCCACCAGAGAGGACCCGCCATTGAAAGACTTTAAAGTGTAGAAATTACAAAAATGATTTGTGCTTTAGAGAGCTCCCCGTTGTCTCATGTGGCATAACAGGAGAGTCATAATTTGGTCATTGTTATCTAACCATCAGGGATTTAAGAAATATCTCAGATCAGAACTATTTCTGACACTTCAATAACAATAGTACTTCGACATCTTGTAGATTATTCACCTGCACACTGCAATGTTTAATGTGCTACTCCACATAGCTTACTGCTTTTTGCTTTAAATGCATTATATGACTTTATAGAAAACACAATGGCCACTTTCTCCTGTTTCATCTGCAAGACAAACTTTATGAAATATCCTTTTCTGCAGGAAACATGATTAGGTAATTTTCATTACTCTTGACAAAAGCTCTTTAATTGTGATACTAATAGTAAGAGT